GGTTCGCGTGCGGCGCATTTTGGCGGTGCCCAGGCCTACGACGCACGCGCGCCAACACAGCCTCATGGGGGCCTCATGGAAGCTTCATGACAGCCTCAAGGCGTTCAATGCGACGACCAGAAGGCTAGGGCATTTGTGCCCCCAAACCCTCTGGTCACCTTTTTGGGTCATGCCCTCCTGTCCCTGGAATTGGCGGGGGACGCTTTCCCCCCCCCCCCCCCCCAGTATGCCTTGACAGTTTAAGACTCCCTCGCAGATTCTAAAACGTCAAAAAGCGGACGCTCGAGCATTGACGACGGAATCCCGACCCTGAAAGATCCCCAAATTTTAAAACAGGGCCCTTACTGCGATGAAGCCTGCCTGTCAATAGATTGGCAGACAAGGTTTCCTAGGCTCCGCTTTGTTCCCCTCATGGACTAAATAATGCCTACTGACCATGGCTGACTGACCGCTGGCCATACCTGACTGACCACTAACCATAGCAAGAGGCATTTAGGTACTTAAGTGTTGGCTGGGCGGTAGCTGTGTTATGCCGAGTGATGCGGTGCATTGACTTACCGTGTGGCAGCAAACTACAAACCAGGGTCGAAAAAGTGCCGATTTACCGGATTCAGTCAGTGATAAGAATAGCCAGTTCACCGCCTGTTCGACAGCAAAACCACAACAAACGAAGACGTCCGATACCTCATCCGTACGTTGACGGATGTCAGTTGCCCGCCCCTCGCGCATGGAAGGCCTCGCGCCGGACAGCGGCCACATGCTCACTCGGACACTGGGTGACCGTCCCCCGAGCAGCGCGCTGGCACGAGCGGGACGCGCCTTGGCAGAGGTCGTCCGCTGGGACACGGCCGACCGGGCCACCGCCGGGCTAAGTATAGCCCGGTGCCGGCCGCGGCCGCCGCCGTCCCCGGCCCGGCCCGGCGCGGGGGCCGGCGACGCGGAGCCGTCGAGCCGCGCGCACGCGGCCGACGCCGGCGACAACGCACGACCGGCGCCGGCCACGCGGAGGCCGCTGGGCATGCGGGTTTCGCAGACTGCGGCTCGCAGCTCACGAGCTTCCTCACGTCTCATCGTGTGGTTGTATTTGGCTGGATGCCTTATCGGCGAGTTTCATCGGTGGGCTCAACATTGCAGCCTCATTCAAGGAACGCCACAGTCTGTTTGATTCAAAATCCTAGCAGCCATTACATGCATGTAAGCGGTATTACAGGGTGGACGAGACGCTGGCGGGGGGCTTGCGGTCTGCTCTGGCAAATCGCCACACCGCCGCAATCCTGATTGCATATCATCTGCATGACCGGCAAAATCATCATAATGAAGATGCCAAGATGGCCTCCGCATCAAGAAGTAGGAATATTTATCGGAAGAAGGGAAAAAAGAGAGAAGAGAGAAGAGAGAGAGAGAGAGAGAGAGAAGAGAAGAGAGAGGAGAGAGAGAGAGAGATGAGAGAGAAGAGCGAGAGAGAGGAGCAATAGAGAGAGAGAGAGAGAGAGAGAGAGAGAGAGAGAGAGAGAGAGAGAGAGAGAGAGAGAGAGAGAGAGAGACGAGAGGGGAGCAGAGAGACGGAGAGGCAGAGAGAGAGAAGCGAGAGGAGATAGCAGGAATGTTCTCTCTTTTACCAATTCACGACGAATTACAACAAACCACATCAGCTTATCTACAACCTTGGCGCAGATTGGAGCCTTGCTCCGCTCGGGACGAAATGTTCTCTCTTCATTGAATTACAACAACAATCAGCTTTTGGCGCGGCTCCGGATGGGTGAACGAAGCTTCTGGCTTCGGGGGATTACGAGATCCAGAGATCTGAATGAGAAGTGCCATAGAAGGGCAAGGTAGGAAAGATATGCGAGATCAGTTGATTTCCAGGTTTTTTGTCGCAAGGGGCTTAAATGATATGTTTGAAATTTTCGACGATATTGTGGCCATCAAGGAACGCAATTACGCCTCGCTTAGTTTTTTTGCACATTTCCTCCGGCATGCCAATATACCTTATCACGCTACCGGGTAGCGGCTAATTTGACCTCTCACAGATTTTTGCAAAGTAATCCTCGAACGGTGCAGAGTAGCCGCACCAAACATCGTACAGCTGCAGACGATTCAATAGCAAATATTTTGGCGTAAAAGCAAATTGACTGCATCTAGTAAAGCTGCTGACCAATGAGAGATCAAAGTAAGACCATGGCTGTCAGCAAAGGCCATTTCTTGGAAGCCACTCAGTCTGATGCGACAATGGAGTGTAGACGAATCCATCCATATCTGAGACAGTTTCTCAGGCAATCAAATAATTTAATTTAGGATTGCAACAAACCCCATTAAACTAGGGTGCAGTATGAAGGGGCTTGTGTCCGGTGTCGGTGTCCAAAAGACCGGTGTCAAACCCAACCTTCTTTTTTGTTGGAGAGCTTGCTTTATTATACAGGTTTTAATGCTCATTTCGAATTTATTAATGACAGAGACCACAACAGATATCTCTCATGGAGTTCTGAAAGGTCAGAGTAGGACACTGACATAAAATGACCCAGATCAACCCTTCATTTTTAGGAATATACCACCTAGCGTAATACTCAAAGTTTATTGAAAGTCGAAACTCAAAACAGCCTCACAGGTTCTAGGTAGATATGACCCTCTTAATCCCAAACGAGGCCACTGACCTAGAATGAACACCAGCGACTTTTTGCTTGGAACAGGAATCTAGGTTCAAGGCGGTTGCACGACGAGGCCTGGGGCCACTCTATATACCAATATTGAGTTTTATCCGAAGGTCACGACAGAGGGACCTCACAATTTGAAATAAGTGAGTTCACATGGAAATCAGCCAACCCTGTGAATGTGATGTCTTCAGCTCTCATAGCATTTAAGACATCAGAAATCAACCCCTATTCGAGCGAGGGCATTCAACCGGCCACCCGAACGCGTCGTAAAGGGAGTGTTCCGCATCTGCATGGGGTTTTGAACTGACATAGGCATCTTGCAGGTCATTAAGTAGCAGCTCACAGCCTTGCCCTTTTTAGAACATAAGCCCCTTTAGTTTCTGAGGTACACGCCCGCGCAGATGTGCCGGTTATTTCGGGGAGACTAATTCAATGTCACCCAAGCTTCCATGACGCCACACTAGCGTCATGCAAATCCTGACACTCCATTAGCCATATGGTGATCAAGGCTAATAAAAACATAACTGTTTAGTTGTTCACATCTGGCGTTTGTGAGCACGATTATCAGAAATACTGGCCGTCAATTGACTATGAATCAATGTTGCGCAATGCACGATGAAGTAATCAATGACATACTGAGGACCATAGTTAACGAACAATGACATTGTGTTGTCTAGAGCAGTCTTACCCACCTAGAAGAACACCAATAGTTATGAGCAAGCTTATTTCGTCATACCTGATGCTTGCTTTACTATCTTAAAACAAGAAACATTCCCTTTCAAATATTTGCGTTTTTACTTTGGCTTGGTACGTGAAATACAATAAATGCATGTCATGATAGGTTATTGGCACGCGCCAGGCCATATTACGTCAAGCCAATCCTTCTCCCTTCATTTCATATCACGTCATTTTGCATTCTTTCCCACGATTAGCTCAGTTGATACGGCGCTTGACTCGAAATCGGAGGGCAAATCGCTCGAATCTCAGCAATTCCGAACGGAGAATCCAGGTCGTGACCCGTATATAGCTGAAACTCAAACACTATGCCGTGTTTCTCAGGACTCACTAACACCCGACAACGGCCGGATAACACACTGGCGAAACGTTGTATGTATGCTAGCACATCAGACCAGGACGAAAGTGAACAATCATTCCATTAAGCATTCATAAACTTTGCGAAGTTTCCAACGTTTTACAAGCGTTCTCCGACGTCCATCTCAGGTCAGTGACCCGACGTGGCATACATTCAAAACGAACATGTAGCATGCACAACAGTTGCAAAAAGGCAACTGTATAGGTTTCGTGGATCCACATCTGTTCGGTTACGCTCAGAATCCACCGGTGTGTTTCAGTCAGGAGCAAGTCAACTCACATGTATCGATAAAAATAGGAACAAGCTGCTTCGGTTGTCCTGTGTCCTGAAGTCGCCTTCGTCACGTCGTATCAGGTCTAGCAATCATTGCAGACATGTGTTCATTGTGCCGAGAAAATACCCGGTGACCGGTGGGGGATCTGTGACCTGTTGGGGATACTGTGACCGGTTGGGTACACTGTGACCGTTTGGGAATGCTGTGGCCGGTGAGGGGCACTGTGACCGGTGAGGACGCTGTGATCGGTTGGGGATACCGTGACCGTTGGGGGACACCTTGACCGTTCGGGGACACTGTGACCGGTTGGGGGTACTGTGTCCGGTGGGGGGAAACTGTGACCGGTGGGCACACCGTGACCGGTTGGGGATATTGTGATCGGTGAGGACACTGCGACCAGTGGGGACACTGCGACCAGTGGGGACACTGTGACCAGTGGGGTCACTGACCGGTGGGGGATACTGTGACCGGCGGGGAATTCTGCGACCGATGGGGATGCTGTGACCGGTGTGGGGACACTGTGACCAGTGGGGACACTGACCGGTGGGGGATACTGTGACCGGCGGGGAATTCTGCGACCGATGGGGATGCTGTGACCGGTGTGGGGACACTGTGAACCGTGATGGACACTGATCAGTGGAGAATACTGTGACCGGTGTTGGGATGCTGTGACCGGTGCGAAATACTGTGACCGGTATGGGGAGATTGTGGCCGGTGGGGGACACTGCTTCCGATGGAGGGACAGTCGACCGTTAGGGGACACTATGACCCGTGCGGGGACACGCGACCGATGGGGACACTACTTCCGATGGAGGGACACGCGACCGCTGGGGGACACTGTGATCGATGAGGGGGACAGTGTCGCCGGTGAGGGGACTCTGTGACCCGTGGGAGACGCGCTCCGTCTGTCCCGCCTGTGTGTCGTCGGCAGCTATTTCCGTCGTGGCTCCGGCGGGCATTTGGATCACGCCGGCGCCAGTCGCCCCCGGGAGGCCGCTCGTCGGCCGCGTGCTGCGTGGACTCTTAACCCCAGACTGATCTCATCACCATGTGAGTACACTGCATGTGGCGGCCCTGGAGTGGTCACCGATGATAAGCGTGTTTATTCAGCGGGGTGGTGATGTCCGCAGTGGTGTTTTGTCCAGGCAAGAGGATTGAATGGCGAGGCAGACTATTTTGTTTGTGCCATCATGATTCCACCTTCTTTGCCGGATCTCTAAAAACGGCGTAGAAATTACCACTGCCAACCTATTTTTCGTGAGCGGGATGGAGAAAATGGAGTCAGAGTTGCTCTTGACACTCAGTGATCCATTAAATGGTGTTCAGAACTGTGACGGAAATGGCCCTGGCGATGGCCAGGCCCTTTTAGCAATTTGTCATCTGATATCACTGGTGTGAATCGACGTAACATTTCTTTGCGGCAAAGATGGAAGAACGAGCGCCTCTGAATGATAGCATGTCGGAATTAGGCTGATGTTTATAGCAAATGTTATGACAGCTGCCACATTTGCGACACCACGTTTTCGCGTATGTCTGTCATGTTGGGCTGTCGGTTTTCGGTACAACGAGGCGACATTTATCGGCGAACGTCTTTGCCTAAGACATTTGTTTGCCTATAGGACCTTCGGTAAAACACGCCGTTCTCGGATGTGCAGTTTTGGAACCGTGTATACTGTTTATTTCATTTGTGTTCGTGTCCTGATCTTATTGGTAAGTCCGGTTGACTTCTGTCAATCAGTTCGTAAGTCAGTCAGCGTCTGGCAGCAGTGGCACACGTTAGCGATTGACGCATAACAATATTGGAACGTGCTCAGAACGTTAGAATCTAGATGGAGACCACATAATATTAGGGTCACCATGGACGAACAATTGAGCGCGCCGACAAGAGAGACAATGCCCGAAAGCGTTTTGCCAAGTTGTATACAAAAACCACCGGAAGGACCACTTCAGTTGCAGTGCTATGCTGATGCCCTGCAAACTGACGTCCAAAGTCAATTGGAACTATCACGATTATCTTCCACATCTCAGGGCTGATATGATCGAGGAGCATTGATCGTGCCCCGTCGCCGTCTTCAGGGCGTCCTTTCCGTCTATTGGCCCTCAGATCGCCAGGGATCCCCAACTTTCTAATGGGCACCTGCCTGATCTCCGGTTACTGCCGATGGCCCTGGAGCGATCTTTGAATCCAAGACTTGCTAGAGGAGGCCGATGGTTGCATTACACCATGCTGCTCAGTTATAGCAGCCTGGTAATTATAGGGTCTTGTATGCCACACAGAGCCCTTCATAATGGCATCCGTACCATCTCGGCTCTCATGCAGTTTGCTTCTTATGAAGGCTGCACGGTGCACGTTGTCGTGAAAGCCTCAGGTGAAGCGTCAGCGATAACATTGATCATATAAGCACCCAGGAGCCAGAGCGCCAGACGATAATCGAACCCAGGCCTACCAGGTACGCCCACGACCAAGTCATTGCGCCCCGGGCGGTTTTCTTCAAGGGCTATCTTGACCAGCTTTCGAAAGGCCCATGCCACTATGCCTGCTGACTTTCTCAAGCCTCTGTCTGCTAAGATGGCTCTCGGCCGTCCCAGAAATCCGCTGTTTTTCCCAGCCTTTTTTGGTCCTTCGAAGCCCTTTGATGTATGTCGTTCCATTTTGCAGCTTGCCGGCCACGCTGGAGACAAGGATTCCTCGAGGCCTTGCTTTCATATCAGGCCTTTCAACCAATTGTTAGAAGTCCGTTATCGTATACAGGACCTGCTTTGGCGCATTGGGTCTGCTTGATAATCTTTTGGCTCTCGTCGTATTGGCCTCCTGGTGCCCTTAGGACCACCTCGTGGTCCCGTTCCATACTGGGGATACTGTCTATATAAGCTAATGTCATTGGTTGACCAAAATGGCTCGAATGCATAGATGAGTAAGAACATGCTTTCGGTGGATATGCATGTACCATAGGACCATGTGCGCATTTCGGTTTCGAACATCCATTAGCTTCTCCCATCGGCTGGGTAGTACAGGCATGTGCATGGAGGCTTGCCAAAGTTTAAGTGGGTCAAAGAAGGTCAGAAAATGTGGAGGGTCAGGCACGTCTGTAACTTGATTGCCGCCGTAAATATCAGTGATGAATGGATAAAAAGAAGCACGAGACCGGCCCGCCTCATTAGAAATAAGAAATGCCCGTGCCATTGGCACATATATGCAGCGATATATCTCTCGCATCTTTACCGTTCTCTAATTGGCCACTGGCACCCGGTACTCCAGTTCGTTTTCACACCCCGTCCCGTTCGACGGGAGGGCAGCAGATTTCGCCGATGTTCGGCCAGAGGCCAGTGTCGTTTGTCAGCTCGGCTAAAAATGGCGGCCGGCCATTCCGCGAGACGGACGGGGCCAAGTCGCATGCCGCGACACGAGGCCACGGGTGCCCCCACGCCGTTGGGACGTCCGTCGGGCCGCCGGTCCCGTCGGAGGGGTGGTTCACAGGCCACCAGTGCGGTGGAAGACCGGGATACAGACCGCTGGTCTGGCCAGTGCCAGGGGTAGGCTGGGACCGATGCTCGCTAACATTCATTTGTGCAAAGCACCATCCTGAGCTAGCGCACCCGTGAAGGCAGATGTGGAGCATGGCACATTACCTGTCTATAGTCATGCCTTCCTGTCATATCGTGTGTAACTCCAAACAGAAGATGCGTTTATCTCCAGGCAGCGCTCACCACTAGAACGAAAACACTAACCGCTCCCAAAAAAAGCTCACACCTGAAAGAACCCCTTAGTTTTCACCGCACTGTCCAGCATTTTTACAGTATTCACAGCCGTTGTGCCACAACGAATACGTTTGACGTGTGGTCATGATGTTTCATGGAGCCACGAACCACGTACTACACCGTGTCTGACCCTGAAGTCGTTAGTAACACGGCTTTCCTTTACCACAGGGCGTCGTAATGTTGGACGGATAGGCCTCGTCCCTCCTGAGGGAGGGGCTGCATCGGGACAAAACCAGGTAAGCTGGAGCGAACGGCGCGTCCAGAATGATACGCTCTTGTCAGACTCTATTAACTCCCGTCATTATTCATAGGTGTAGCCAAACGACGGGCTGTCTTAACAAAATGGGGTCTGAAAGCACTTCGGTTTGTAAGCCCGAGTTGGGATGATGCTCATGATGACTTATTGCACTGCTCGCCAATCCAAATGACCTCCTGGTTTGCGTGAAATGTGCATCGCAACAGTGACCTGGCAATGCGACTGGGCAAACAACATAGATCAGTACAGGCCAAAAAAGGCCAGTCTTACCCCCACCCCTACCACTTGGTGGTGAGCTACGGCCCTTGGCATTTTGGTGTAGTTGTGGCCAATGACACTCTTATCGTGACACTCTTGTCTCGCAGTGTCATTATATTAACGTCACGCTCCGACCATGCCGGCCGCCCAGCACACTGTCCGCGCTCGCTCCGCCGCTCGCCTGTTCGGCGCCTCGACCCGGTGATGCCCGCGGGACGGGCGCCCCTGACACATAGGCAGCCCGCAACGCACCAGGCTGTGGCCGCAAGCCCACGCTACAGGAGTTCCCCAACCTTCGAGGCATATTTCAAAAACGAATTCTGGTGAAGCCTCAGATCTAGTTAGTCTAATACTAGCACTAGCACTAGCACATTTTTGTCTAAATTGTGCTTCAAGCTTTCGTAGCGCTATTATGCAAACATTTTGACACATTAGTGCACTGCAAACATTATAGAACACACACGTTGCAAAAAGCGAGGGAAAAGGAATGTATTCCCTCCATGGTCATGAGCTAGGAGTCAAATGAGTTTTCTCCCGCTGGGTCGGCTACTTCAAATGGAACTTCTGAGCTATTCATAAGGATTTCGAGAGAACGAGCATTGCTGATTACAGGAAATGTTTCACATTTGAAGATCTTGGAGCAAGCGTCAGATATGATGACATAATCTCACCTATAACTATCGATACACTTTTTAAGTGGAAAACACTGCTTAAGACAGCACAACTTTCTGTTAAGTAAATCTGCTACTCAATGGGTCTTGGTTTGATTACGTCATCGTCAGCTGCACAACATTGCTTAAGAGCCAATTGGCGGCCGCTATATCTGGAAATCGTGCTCACGAACGCCAGATATAAACGCCTCAACGATTATACTTTTCTTCGCCTGGATCGCTGCATGTCTTATGGAAAGACAGGATTTGAATAGCATTATGATGACGGCATGAATGCCAAGGTGACTTTAAGATACTCTCCCCATATTCATTTCCCCATGTTCGTGGGCGTATAGCTCAGAAACTAGAGGAGCTTAGGTCTTGAGAAGGGCGATATTGTGAACAGCACCGAAAGGCCCTCAAGATAGTTATTTTAGTTCAAACACCCATACAGATGTGGGACGCTTCCTTAAGTGCAGCATTAAGCGAAAAGTACAAAAAGGGCGGATATTTCCCTCATCGGGGCTCGGACCACCCAAGCGGGACGTTATTCTCCGGCTGGCCCACATGGAAGCCGGACGGCCAGAGGTCATCTTTGTGACCTGGCCGCGGCTGTCGCCCGCTCCACAAGGGAGTCGGGCCGCGAGCAGCGTCCGACTCAGCCCTGACGCTGCTCCGCCGCAACTGTCGTCCGCTCCACAAGGGCGTGGGCCGGGAGCAGCGTCCCATTCAGCCCTGACGCTGCTTCGCCGGCGCGACGGCCGTGGCCGAGGCGCATTCCGCGGGCTTGTGCCAAATTCTTTGGAAGACGGGCCAGTGGCGAAATATGAATCGGGACAGATGGCCATTAAATCACAGAGAAGCGGCCGACCTGAGTGTAGAGCTAGATGTTTTAACTGAAGAGACGTGAAAAATGGAAGCAGCAGAAATAGGCGGCCAAAGGCCATCTTTAAGTGCAAGGAGGGGCGGAGAGAGGGAGACCGAGTGTGGAGACAGAGAGAGAGGGAAAGGCAAGAGCGTTTGTGGGGGGGGGGAGGGGTGGTCGACGATCACGTTTCAGCCTCTCATTACTGCGCAAACTATAACTCTTAACGGATACCCCACCAGCCATTTTCCGCGAATGTGACATGACGGCATCACAGGCAAAAGTTTCTCCAGGCGGCAGATGATACGGCGGATGTGTGTGTGGTGGTAGCGCAGCTTCGGCCGCCGCGCCGGGGGCGGCACAAGAGGCGCGGAGCACGCGGTGCCGGGAGGACGCTGTCGGGCCAGCTGGCTAGCAGCGCCCCCGAGCGGCCACAAATACACCTGGAACTGCACGCGGACACAAATGGCGCGACGCGCGCCGCCGCCAACCATTGCAGCACCCCGCACGGCGGCGTGCGACCCGACGGGGCGAAGCGCAGCTGCCTCTGCTGGGAATGTGGACCTGCGTTGTGCCAATGAGGTCCGGCAACAGACAGCAGCAGCAACATGTGTTGCGTAGCGGCACATGTAGGCTGGTGTAGGCATCTGGTGGAGATATAAAGGACTCTGAAGGACCTGCCTCTGTTCTCCTGCCTGTGAAAAATTCGTTGAACTCAAGAGGGGGCGAGTTGCTTTGCTCGGAATTCACTCACGCTCGGACATGCCATGGTCAGTGACAGCAGCAAACATGCCAGGAGAGCATGTGAGTGTCCACTACCGATAACAGGCGCCAGTGAGGTGTGTACCAATGTCGACCTGATCCGCTGCGCTTGCCAGGGAGCACAACTACAACAACAACTACAACAACGCCTGACACAACCGCTTACCAGCGCTTGTTTCGGGTGCACCGACACTGTGAATGCGTACACTGTGTTCCTATTGCGGGCATGTGGATGTGTGTCTGCATTGGGCATAATATGTGTACATACCTGTGAAGAATCCAACAAAGGGTACGACCGCTGCAGAGGGGATGTGCGTTGTGGTCTAGTGGAGTGTAACAAGACGACAGTAGCATAACGTAGCATGTAAGAGATCAAAATTACCGTATTCAAGTGATCAGTAGTTACAAACAAGGGCACATGCCGAGCTTGTCTCAACGCCCACCATACTCCCTTTGTACTAGTGACGAACTAGTGCGTGTACTAGTGCGTGTGCGTGTGCGTTTGTACTAGTGCGTGTTGAATGTCGGCGACGGACGTATGTGTGCTGTATGTCGGTGACAGACGTATGTGTGCTGTACGTCGGTGACAGATGTATGCGTGCTGTATGTCGGTGACAGACGTATGCGTGCTGCATGTCGGTGACAGAAGTATGCGTGCTGTATGTCGGTGACAGACGTATGCGTGCTGTATGTCGGTGACAGACGTATGCGTGCTGTATGTCAGTGACAGACGTATGCGTGCTGTATGTCGGTGACAGGCGTATGCGCGCTGTATGTCGGTGACGGACGTATGCGTTCCATATGTCGGTGGCCAACGTGTATGTCATGTGTGCCAGCAATGGACAAAAAATGTTCTTAGTGTCGTGACAGACATGACAGTCCTGCGTGCCAGTGACAGATATGTGAGTCATGTGTTCATGCGTCGAGTTGGGATCATATGCTGGTACTGACTTCTGCACTCCGCGTGCGAATAGCATACAAAGGCGTTTTGCGTGCCTGTGACCAACGTGTGAGCTTTGTGAGTTAGTGGCGTACGCATGCTGGCGTCAGCAATAATCGTGTGAGGTGCATTTATCATGGACGGACGCGTGCACTGTGCAGTGGTGCCTGCGCCAGCAACGGACGTGCAGCTGTGCGTTGGGACTTACGACAGACGCTTGCGCTGCGTGCACCAGCGACCCGCACCTGTGGTGCGTACACCAGCGACCTACACCTGCGCTGTGTACACCAGCTGGCCTACACCTGCGCTGCGTGCACCAGCGACCTGTACCTGCGCTGTGTACATCAGCGACCTGTATCTGCGCTGTGTACACCAGCGACCTACACCTGCGCTGCGTGAACCAGCGACCTACACCTGCCTTGTGTATACCAGTGACCGTTCCCGAGGTGATGTGACGTTTACGGCCTCTGTGTACACCGGCCTCTGTGTACGGCCTCTGCGTACACCAGCGACCTGTATCTGCGCTGTGTACACCAGCGGCCTACACCTGCGCTGCGTACACCTGCGACCTGTATCTGCGCTGTGTTCACCAGTGGCCTACACCTGCGCTGCGTACACCTGCGACCTGTATCTGCGCCGTGTTCACCAGCGGACCTACACCTGCGCTGTGTACACCAGCGACCTACACCTGCCTTGTGTATACCAGTGACCGTTCCCGAGGTGTTGTGATGTGTACGGCCTCTGTGTACGGCCTCTGTGTACGGCCTCTGCGTACACCAGCGACCTGTATCTGCGCTGTGTACACCAGCGACCTACACCTGCGCTGCGTGAACCAGCGACCTACACCTGCCTTGTGTATACCAGCGACCGTTCCCAAGGTGTTGTGACGTGCACGGCCTCTGTGTGCTCTTCAGGTGCGCCGGCGGCGGCCGCCGCCATGGACTCGTTCGACTCGCTGCTCACGTGCTGCATCTGTCTGGACCGCTTCCGAAACCCCAAGCTGCTGCCATGTCAGCACACCTTCTGTATGGAGCCCTGTATGGAGGGCCTGATCGACTATGTCAAGCGCCAGGTGAGGCGTCGCCGCCCGCTGGTGCCCGAGGCGCGGCCGGCTACTCGGTCGCCGCCCGCTGGTGCCCGAGGCGCGGCCGGCTACTCGGTCGCCGGTCGCTGGTGTCCGAAGCGTGACCGGCCACTCGGTCGCCGGTCGCTGGTGTCCGAGGCGTGACCGGCCACTCGGTCGCCGCCCGCTGGTGCCCGAGGCGCGACCGGCCACTCGGTCGCCGGTCGACCGGGCGTCCGTCACGATTAACTTTGGAACTCTGCATGCAGCTGGTGCTACAGAATACCGCGAAATGGATGGTGGTGTAGATGGAAGAATCGGAGACGTAACTTCGAACCGCTACACTGCGGAAAGTGGATGCCGTGGCTGGTTAGAGGCTCTATTTACTTATCTGCGGGGTTGGCGGGACTTTTTAGGAGGGGGTTTGGTCGGGGAGGCCAGCACGGGGGAAGGCGAGAGTGTGTCCCACCAAATAAATTGGGGAGGCTCCTCTTTCCCCAAACTAAAAGCATTGCAATCACGCGTAGAGTATCAAAATTGAGATCAAGGAGGCCCCATAATTGAGGTAGAGAGTAATAACTCGGGCTCAGAAGACCCTTTGACCCTTAGACCCTTATTTAGACCCTTATTTAGTTCACGATACCTGTTTTCTGGGTCCTGAAGTCACCGCTATGAGCAAGGTGGCCAGTGTTCCACATCAGGAGACCCAATGTTGGTTTGAATAAGGCCATTTTCTGGCTTGGGAGGTGCCCATTACAAAATAGGAGGCCTCTGTCCTGGATTAAAAGACGCTTTTGACATTTAGGAGGCCTCATTTCTGGAACAGGAGATCCCATTCACGCATCAGATGGCCACGGTTCCGGATCAGGATGCTCTGTTTTGGGATAGCGAGGCCCTCTGGCTAGACTTAGAGCCCCCTTCGCAAGTGGGAAGCATCCTGTTCTGGATTAGGAGGCCCCTCTGTGCATCGGGATGCCGTTTTCTGAATCATGTGCCCCTGTTTTACATTACCGAGATATTTTGCTGGATAATTAGAGGAATTCCATCCAAGATATTTTAGCTGTCGACATTTGTTTACTTGGATATGATAAATGTAGCAGTTGAAAAGCGGGCACATGCGCTCGGTGTCCCTGCTCCTTGAATGCGACGATGCACAGGAGGCCTCCCTGTGAAGAGGCCCCATTGTGTCCAGGACACCCCTGAAAAATCCTGCCCCAACATCTCAAAACCCTCGGAGCTGCCCCTGGTGAGAGAAGCTACATTGCGCTGAGTTCCGCGCTGGACGGGCTGATGGGGCTTGGGTGTCAAGTGTCCGTTCCTTGATCTGCCGTACTTTTCTGTGAGCCTCCTTGCCGGTGGGGTTACTTTATCTCGTACAGTATCATCAGTATCATCAGTATCATCAGTATCACCAGTATCATCAGTATCAGTATCAGATGACAATATCATCTTCCCGCCCACATGACACGTTTTGTGTTTCCAGACATAACTGGCTCGTTCCGGGTGTTCATCTTGTCGTATTGCTGTAACATGGTTCACGGTAGACGACCTGTTTTACCTTCGTATGACCTTCGACAGCTGCAGGGGATGACGCGTATGCAGCGTGCTGTGTGCGTTCTCAGTGGGTGCCGATGGCCTGGGCTTGGTGAGCGCCCACCGCAGTGTTGTGCTGCTTCTGAACACTGTCCCCATGTTGTGGCGCAAACGAATCATCCCAGCGTATTGTGGAAAATAACACCATCGACAACGATAAAGTCCGCATTTTTTGGGTGGTGGGCGGGGGGGGGGGGGGGTATCGCCCGTTCGGCCAGCAATGACCACTTGAAGGCTATGAGATGGAAGCAGGTAATGGGGAAGGGAGGGGTAAGATCACAGCACCTACGACTCCTCCACCGAGACTCGGTCCGCACAAAAACTCTTCTCCGGGGTATGTGCGACTGCTGGGGCGGGGTCAGGGGACATTCATGGCTGTTGCATGCAGGCCGCTTCGGATGAGCGGGGCGTCGTGAGTATGCTGGACGAGTGCGAATAAGGACAGAAGCGCGGGCTCGCAGAGGCTCGAGAGTTATTCTGTGCGCCGGCGACGTCCGAAGTGAAACGCACTGTTTGTGGAAATCGCATGCACTTGACTACTGCAGCCATCATGTTCCTGGACAGTGATATGATCAGCAATATAATGCCTGTCACGTATCGCGCTGTCAGCAACACGCCGCCTGCGTCACCACAAACGATGTGCCCACCAAATGTGGAAGTCTGAATCCCACTTGTGGCTTGCATTTGCTTCGGTCGATTTGCTAGACACAAATTTTACTAGTCTTGCTTTCTCGTGCGCGTATTTAATTTCGAAATTACAGTTCCAATGCAATGTGATTTTAACAACTTGCGAGGTGCAACGTTATATTGAGTTCATGTTGTAATGCACACTTGATCGTCCCCGTTGGTCAGTCGCTCAGTAGCGTGCGCAGGATTTGTCTGTTGCCGGGTGCTGAACGAGTTCAGCTCACGCGAGCCTCCGAAACGGCCAGCACGGTCTTGATGCAACACTGATGTGACGTAAGTCATTTGTTCTAGCCCCGGACAGCTCATTTATAATTCGCATGCGACAGCTGCGCTAAATACCTTGCAGCAGACAGCTCCGAACACCCGATCACGTTACCAGTCAATGTCCATTACCGGCAGTTTAAGACACCTGGTATGTCGTGTTACGTTTTGCAACTATGCTCATGAAAACAACCGAGGGGAGGGGCTAGGGAGCTGAGGCCAGGCTGTGGTCTTACATTGCCCGTGGCAACTTAGCATTATGAAGATTTAGAAAAAAAAATCTGCGTTAACACGTGGTTTTGGATTTCTCACTTCTTGCGACACTCTTACGCCATGCAAGGCAGCGACAGCCACCTGGCGCATGGTTGAGACCGACGCCCATGTGCCCCGTCGACAGGTGAAATGTCCCGAGTGCCGCGCGGAACACCGGATCCCGTACAAGGGCATCCAGGAGTTCCCCAGCAACGTGACGATGCAGCGCTTCCTGGAGATGTACCAGGCCATCTCGGGCGAGCTGCCCGACCCCAACCAGGGCCAGGTTATGGAGCGGTGCGCGGTGAGTGCCAGTCCGGTAGCCTCCGAAGAGCATGGCGCTGTGCCAGCCGGCATTACGTCTCCGGGCCTAGCAATGCTTAAAAACGCACCTGGTGTCTCTAAAGAAGCCACAGGAGGCTGCCGGGGGACGCGGGGAGGGAGATTTTGGAGAGGGTTCGAAGCAGAGCTCGGGTCAGGCGATCTCCCCGCTCCCGCGCCTCCTGACGCTCCAGCGCCGCCTGACGCTCCAGCGCCGCGATCCTCACCTGCTGTGTGAGCCGCACGGTGAGACGCTCTGCCGAAGTCTGGCCCTTGGCCGAGATGGGCCGCCACGGCTTCACTGGCTGTCAATTCGCAAACCACGGGGCGCTTCACCAACCATGGATCGCGTTGTAGCATGCCTGGTAGTGAGTGTCCCTGAACATCCTGCCCGATCGTACCTGTACGGGCCTGAACACTCCACCCGGTCGGACCTGCCCGACCCTGAACATCCTACTCGACCGGACCGGTCCAGCCTTGAACACCCTGCCCGACCGAACCGGTCCGACTCTAAACATCTCGCCCGGCCGGACCGGTCTGACCCCGAACACCCTGCCTGACCGTACCTGTACAGCCCTGAGCACCCTGCCCGGCCGGACCCGTCTGACCCTGATCACACTGTCCGGTCGAACCGGTCCGCACCTGATCACCCTTTCCGGTCGAACCTGTTCAACCCTGAACACCCTGTCCGGTCAAATCGGTGCGACCCTGACCATCCTGTCCGACCGGACCGGTCCGACCCTGACCATCCTGTCCGACCGGACCGGTCCGACCCTGACCATCCTGTCCGACCGGACCGGTCCGACCCTGACCATCCTGTCCGACCGGACCGGTCCGACCCTGACCATCCTGTCCGACCGGACCGGTCCGACCCTCAACACCCAGCCCCACCCGTCTACCACGCATTGATGGTCGCTGGGCAGAGGCGCGTTCAAGGACATTTTGCGGGTATGATGTACACGACCGAGGAAAGATTGCGCCGCCAATAATGCTAGTGACGCGCTGTAAGCTGCAGTCAGTTGTTACATAACATCAGGGTTGTCGGGGTTATTTGCGATGCAAAGCAGTCACGGTCGAGGCCCATACTTTAGCACACAGCATTCTCTCGACTGCCCGCTGTCACTCGTAAAACGTACTTCCACAAGTTTCGAAGCCGGTCCAGGAGCCGGTCAGTGAGATACTCGAATGTTGCTTAGTGAATGCCTGCTGCTCATTTTTGTGGTGAGTTCGAGATCACCCGTGGATCAATGACGCGTCACATGGGCTTAAAATATCCACCTTATCTATGACACATGCAACAAAAGATGTGATCCATGTTCGTGAAGAGGGTTGCCCAGCTCTAGGCATTGTTCACCCATGTCCTCAAACCCTTTATCACTCTGTGTAGATGACAATCGCTTACCTTTTGGCTGCTCTCTAAGTTATGTCACATGAAGCAGAATAAAACTGATTTCTGTCGAATGGGGCCGACCTAGATTAAACATATTTCACCAGCATTTACTAACCCATCGATTTCGTTAATTAAAAATAAACAAAGCCTATGTTTGCTGCATTCGTCATGACTGATAACATGTTGAATGGTTACATCACACGTTGATTACACATTGATTGCCATCGCCCGCAGATCTGCAACGAGAAGGAGTACCTGCAGCCGTGCGCGCACTGCGACAAGAAGATCTGCCCGGACTGCAAGTCGGCGCACGTGGACGTGCTGAAGCGCGAGGTGGTGCGGATCAACAGCCAGGTGAGGCGCGGCCTGCACCGGCTCCAGGACATGCACCAGGCGGTGGACAAGAACGCCAGCACGGTGCAGCAGAACTGCCTGGCCGTGCGTGAGGAGGTGGAGAGCCTCGGCAAGCGGCTCATCAAGGCCATCCGCGACCGCACCGAGTGTCTGAAGGCCGAGGTCGACTCGCACATGGCCAGCGAGGTGCGCAGTCTGGCTACGCTCAAGGCCCACCTCGAGCTGGAGATCGCCAACATCGAGAGCAACTCGGACCTGGCCGAGAAACACCTGCACGACAACACCGCCTGGGATGACTGCGAGCTCATGGACGCCAAGGACATCTTCCTCAAGACTGTGGAGTTCATCCGCAACTTTGAGCACGACGTGCCGGGCGGCAGCGACTACCGGCGGCCAATCCGCTTCTCCGCTGCGCAGGATCCCAACCTGCTCAGCAAGACACTCGAGCACTTCGGCGAGCTCAACATCACCAAGAAGGAGCTGCAGGACGCCGTCGGCAACGGCAACGCCTCCAACGGCTTCGCGCTCATGCACTCGTCGTCGTCGGCTGGGCCGGGCCTCATGCGCAGCAAGTCAGACCACCGGCTGGTGGCGCAGCTCCGCCAGCAGGAGGAGCGCGGCCTCGCCGACGACACCGGCCGCGGCTCTCCCGCCAGCCGACGCCGCTTCGGCGACCGCGCCGGCCGCCGCGACAGCGAGGCTGGTCTGCATGGCGACGACTCGGCCGGCGGCGACTCTCCTTGCGAACGGCGCCACAAGTACCGCTCGCGATTCACGCGGCGCACGCTCGACCTGGATGACGACCTGGAAAGCTACCGGCCTGAGCCGTCGCCGGCGGCGCGAGACGAGCCGCGCGAGAAGAGACGGCCGCGCGAGAAGGTGCTCGACACGGAGGACGCCTCGCGCGGGCCACTCAGTGGCATCGCGCGCATCGCCGACGTACCGCGCGTCATCCAAAAGCTGGCGGAGGCGGAGCGCGGCCCGCGGGTGCCGGAGGAGGCGAGGCCGGCGCCGGCCAAGGCCGCGCCACCGCCGCCGCCGCCGCAGCCCGCGCCCTGGCGCCGCCAGAAGAGCGAGGACGACGAGATCTCCAAGATCAAGAAGCAGAACAAAGAGGCGGACGCGCGCTGTTCTCGCGGCGGCGCCACCGCCGCCGCCGCCGCCGCCGAGGAGGCACCGCCGCGCGCGGCCAGCGTGTCGCGGCCGTCGGTCGAGCGCCGCGCCTCGCAGCCGCCGACGCCGACGTCAACGTCGCAGCGGCCGCGGCTCTCGCGCGAGGAGTCTGGCAGCGAGGCGGAGGACTCGGCGCGCCGGCGCGCAGGCCGCCTCAGCCGGCCGTCGGCAGAGGCGGCCATCAGCGAGGCGGTGGCTGAACCGCGCCAGCCGCTGCCCTCGCGCAAGATCAGCGAGCCGACGCGCGGCGCCTCGCCTCGCACGGCCGCCGTCGTCTCGCGCAGCTCGTCGGGTGGCTCGCTGAGTCGGGACGCGGCGGAGGAGCGGCCTCGCACCGCCCTGCGCTCCACCTGGCAGCGGCGCCCGTCGCGCTCCAACAGCTCCGAGTCGACCTCGTCTGAGTCGTCGGCCAGCGCCGCCATACCCAAAACGGGCGCCGCCTTCTCCACCACCGAGCTGAAGAGCCGCTTTATGCGCGGTTCGCAGCCGCCGCCGGCACCCGAGCCGGCGCGCCCGCGGTACGGCGCGGCCAGCGGCGCCGGTCGGTCGGCCGCTGGCGCGACAGCCGCCGCCGCTGCAGCTGACTCAGCCACGCCCGCTCGGCCTCGATTCCAGAGTCGTTTTTTAGGTCGAGCTGGTACTCCCAAGGCAGAGGTCTCGAAAGAATCCACGAGTAGCGAGGACTCGTCCGAGTCCGAGTCTGAGTCGTCCGACAGCGACTCTGACTCGGAGGACGCTCTCGCGCGCGACTCGTTTCGCGGTCGGGCCAGCAACAACATGGCGAAGACCAGCATCGGACCTCTCCTTGCTCGGAGTGCCCAAGCGCGCAGCTCTGCGTCCGACGCGCCACCTGGCGCGACCGGCGTCAGCCGGCCCTCCCGCAGCTCCACACTGGCGAGCGGCGTGCGCCGCGAGTCCTCCGACTACAGCGCCCCGGCCGCGGCCAGCAGCGACCGCTACTCGAGCCGCTACGGCGCGACGGATACGGCCGAGCCCAGGCCGTACGAGTCGCGCTACAGCCGCTACGGTGACTATAAGCCGAGCAACGGGTTGACGCGCTCGCGCACCTCGTCCCACCTCGAGTCGCGCTCGTCGGCCGTCGAGCCCGACTCGTACTCGTCCTACTCGTCCAAGTACTCGCGGCCGTCGCGGCCGTCCTACGACGACTACACGCCGCGCTACTCGTCCTACTCATCGCGGTTTTTAAACACAAGTGAGAGCTCTGCTGCGCCCGACGCGCCGGCGGAGGCGGCGCGCGCCGAGGGCGCCGTCGCCGCCGGCGGCCCGGCCGCTGCCGTCGCTGGCGGCGACCGTCCCGACGGCACGTCCTGGCATGCCTCCGCCGAGGAGCGCCGGCCAGGGCGTGCCCGCAGCACGAGCTCTTCCGACGCCGACGGGCGAGGGAGCGGCGGCGCACGGCCGCCGCGCTCGTCGGCGCAGCGAAGCGGCGACGGTGGCGCCGCCGCCGGAGACATGCCGCAGCCGGCGGCGGACGCTGCCAGCAAGTCCGAGGCCCTCTCCAACTGGGCGCAATATCTCAAGAGCAAGTACGGCTACTCCGGCAAGGACGGCAAGGAGAAGAGCAAGGTGGGTGCTGTGATTGTTTGTGCCAAGCTCAATCTCTTTACAGCTCAGGGATCTGTCGTGTGAACTAGGGGATCTCCAGTTTCACTTTAGGGGGTTTTGGGTGGAAAACGTTACCGTTCGAAGTTTGGCTGGCCTACCATGAAGCATAAGTCAGCAACGCAACGCGACGATAAAATTGGAGGCCCAGCGAGCACAAAAATGATCGTATTCGTTCAACCCCGTGGGCTGTTCATGACTGGCTTTCTCACGGCTGCAGGGGGTGAGCAGGAGCAGATCTTCGCACCTGCTGAGACTGCTCCCCGACGACAGCCAGCCAGAGCAGGCTGACGGGGAACAGGTGGCGCTACCGTCGCCCACGGCCGCCTCTGTCTCGCTGGGCTGTCCAGTGCGCAGCCACTACTTGCAGAAGGGTCGGCTCAAGTGAGTAGCGCCGCGCAGCTCTCAAGGCTGGTACCACGATTGAGACGGATGCGGCAGCCTTATGAGTTGTGCTGAGGATACACGGGTCAGCTGTGTTCTTGGCTATTATGGGGGTATCAGTTCTGCTATGTCTGAACAAATATGTGCTGTGATCATGATAATTTTATGCGGGGCTTACAGCGCCCATGGTCGTGCGGCGCCGTAAAGACGTTTACAATTGTCTGTGCTGCAGATTACTCAGATCAAATGTTCCGCACTCACCTGGCGTGATCATGAGGAGCTGCCCGTTTCAGGTTCAAGATCGGCTCACGAGGAGGCGGGCCGGGCCTGTTCACCTGGCCGCGGGGCATCGCCGTCGGCCCCGACAACTCTATCGTCGTCGCCGACAGCAGCAACCACCGCGTGCAGGTGTTCGACCAGGCGGGCACCTTCGTCAAGGAGTTCGGCCAGTACGGCAACGGCGAGGCTGAATTCGACTGTCTGGCCGGCGTGTCTGTCAACATGATCGGACAGTTTATCATATCGGACAGGTGAGGTCATGCAGATCCAACGGGTCAGGTCATGCAGATTGGACGAGTGAGATCATGCAGATTGGACGGGTCAGGTCATGCATGTCGGACAGGTGAGGTCAGATGGATCGGGCCGTCTCCTGTCAAATGAACAGGTCCACATGTATCGGGTAAGTCATCATACCAAACGGTTGATATTGAACTGATCGCAGCTCGTGCAGCATAACCAATTGGTCGTGTCGTGTGCAGCAAACCATGCCGCGTCGCAAAACTGCAGGCAGCTTTCTGGTGTACTCCAACCGGGAACATGAAATGCTCGACGAAAGGGAAACAATCTTGCAATGATCGTCGACCCATTCAACTGCCAGGCTCTGCGGTGTTCTCGGTTCAATCATGCACTTCTCCAGATGCAGCCTCCGGAACCAGACACGTAGTCGCGTTGATCTCTCTAATGTGCAAATGTACCCATTGGACCAATAAGAACAATGACCGCCGTAATCTTTCCATGCGTAGATACAATCACCGGATCCAGATATTCGACCCGTCTGGCCGGTTCCTGCGCTCATTCGGCCAGAACGGTGTAATGGAGGGCCGCTTCAACTACCCCTGGGGCGTCAGCACGGACGCACTCGGCTTCATCTACGTCTGCGATAAGGAGAACCACCGCGTCCAGGTAAGAGCCATCACACGACCAGCCACTCTAGTCAAGAGCTTTGTGACGTCTCAGGCACGTTCTCCTGGCGGTGTTCCAGTCTGACAGCACGTTTTTTCAGTGTTCCAGTCCGGTGACATTTCGTCCTCCAGGTGTTCCAGTCCGGTGACATTTCGTCCTCCAGGTGTTCCATTCAAGCTACAAGTTCTCCTCCAGGTGTTCCAGTCTGACGGCACGTTCGTCTCCAAGTGTTCCAGTCTGACGGCACGTTCGTCTCCAGGTATTCCAGTCTGACGGCACGTTCGTCTCCAGGTGTTCCAGTCCGACGGCACTTTCGTCGTCAGGTATTCCAGTCTGACGGCGCGTCCGTCTCTGGATGTTTCAGTCTGACGGCACGTTCACCTCCAGGTGTTCCAGTCTGACGGCACGTTCGTCGGCACCATCGGCTCCGAGGGACGCAGTTCGGGCCAGCTAGCACATCCACACTACATCGCCGTCAGCGCCACCAACCGCGTCGTGGTCAGCGACAGCAACAACCACCGCGTGCAGGTCTTCGATGTCAACGGCAAATGCCTGACCACCTTCGGCGGCGAGGGTGGTGAGGAGGGCAAGTTTAAGTTCCCCAGGTGAGCACTAGATGGTGTTGGGTGCTGTAAAGCTGTAAACGAGCTATTCGTACTAGCTGCGCCGGCTGGGGTAATCTTAGCTGTCTGGTGTGCAATATTTTGTTCCATCATTCATCGGTTAAAAAACGCAACGGGTCACCGCTATCAGACCCAAATCATTTTGTTATGGGCACACTCCCAGTGCTGAATAAGTTGCATATGAATGTTTGGTCGGCCTCACATGCTAAATGATGATCAATTCGGATCCAGGATGGTCATCCACGTGACTGCGATTACCACAGGCTGACGAGCCTCCTCGTGCTGCGCCCCTCCCTGGTCGTGCCCGGTGCCTGCTGACCCGCCCCGTCCCTCGTCCGCTGACCAGGGGCGTCGCCGTCGACGACCAGGGCTACATCGTCGTCGGCGACTCGGGCAACCACCGCATCCAGATCTTCAACCCCGACGGCGAGTTTCTCAAGGCGTTCGGCTGCTGGGGAAATCAGGACGGCGAATTCAAAGGTACTGCACCACCCCCGGCTCGCGCTGAGATGGCAATGGTCGAGCTGGCCCGCTGCACAACTGGGTGCAGTCGGGCTTAGGGGAAAACAATGTCTTGCTGGACGAGCTGGACATGCCTGATGATGTATCACAAGTGGTCTGTGATGCATAGGGATGGGGGGGGGGGGGTCCCGCTTGCGGCTGGTTTTGGCTCCTCTCGGTAGCGCAATGTCCCCTCCTTCTTTTTGACCCCCAGTGAGCTCACGGCGCGCGTTCGTTGGAGACCCAGTGAGCTCTGCCACGGTCCATAGAAGCTGTGTTTTTGGCGGTCGTAACCCTGTCGGGAGCGATACTGAGCAGTGTTAAAATATATATTTTTTATTCTGTCCCGTTCTACAGAACTCGTTAACGAGTCGACGCAACACTACGTCTGAACGATCCTTTGACCTCCATTCAAAAGTCGTTCATAACCCGGTATGCGATGCAAGGAAACACTCGCATGGCAACGCGGGACACTTCATTAATTTCCTTAATCGCAATGGCCACATATCGACGGCACACGGCGCCCGCGGGTCGTGCTGCGACCTGCCGCAGCCCGCCGGCTGGTGCGGGGTCGGCTGGCCGGACCGAGCCGTCCCCGCCTGCCCCCTCTGACGCCCACCTGCGCTCCAGGCCTGGAGGGCGTGGCGGTGACGTCCAACGGCAGCGTGCTGGTGTGCGACCGCGAGAACCACCGCGTGCAGGTGTTCTGAGCAGGCGAGTGCCGCGCTAGGGTGTCGGGGGGAGGGGGGGGGGGACGACGGGATGACGTGTGTGCCGCGCCCGCCGCCATCATGTCTTTTTCTGTCGCTTGTCGAAGGTCGCGTGACGCATCGCAGGCGGCCTCTGCCAAAGGATTCGCTGACGGAGCTTATCTCTTGTATTACGATGGCCTTCCGCAGTCACGAAGGTTGGCGCGGTGCATCATTCATCAACATGCAAAAACGCCCGAGTCTTCACGAGCCACATCATAAAAACGGCACGGTTTGATCATTGCACGCCAACAACCCAGCTCCTTACGACGTACGAAATCAAATTTACGGTCGGGAGCGGCACGTGATAACCGTTGGCCGCTTTGCTCCCTGCAGTGTACAGTTCCGCCATCTGCAAAGCGGCGACAGTAAAGTGACGAAGTGAGATTTTCTCCCAAAATGACAGCTGACGGCTAGCGCTCTGCCACAGCCGCCGTGCTGCCGCCGCCCGGCGCTGGTGGGAGACCCTTCAGAACACGAGACGTGCCGCCCGACCGCCGCGAGAGACATCTACCGGAACCCGGCCCAACTCCACACGGCCGCCGCAGACATCGCGTAGAACTAGCCAGATGTATTTGCTGACCGACTCCGTGTGTTCACGGAGTGTAGTTGTTCAAGTTCACCGGTGAAGAGAGGCTACAATGGCTCACCGGACCCATACGATAGTGCCTCCCTTCCCGCGCCGTCCCATTGTTTTGTATAGAATTTGTACGACGCCTCACGAACGACTTTGGAGCTTCATGACGCAACCGAGTATGGTAATGCAAAATGAGCAGGCAATAAATGAAGATCAATCCTATCACCGTGCGTTAAAACTGAGTCACCTTGGACGAAAACGGGCAAGATTTACATGATATATGCGGGATGATACCCATCAAAGCTACCCGCGGAAGACACTGATCCATCATGGATAAAACGTTTCCTCACGTTGCGGTGTGCGTCAGTCTTCGTACCCACACTGAAAGAATGCATTACCAAGTTCCAAAACTGACCACTAGACCGCGAGGAAATAAAGGCTACTTGTTCATGCCCTGATTACTGTGTGCATTATCTTCTGGCAGTCACACACATCACACACTTCACCCGTTAGACCACGGCAATAAAATCGCCAGGTGCAATGAGACGCTATTTAGAGCGGAAGTCTTAAAGCTCTCTTGTACACACAGCAGTTCTCCTGCACTTAAAGGTGCACCGAAACTGATCCTCCGCGTCCAGAGGTACACATTCGCGCATCCTCTTTCTTCGGAGGTACACACGTACCCCTTCCCGCGACTGGAGACATATATGCCCCATTTTCCGGTATCCAAGCGCGCAATAAGACCTGCCCTCAGTCACAGCTATGTCCCCTCAGGTATCGCACTATCCTCCCTCCTGTCGTACCGCGCGCCGTACCAGAGTCCTCTCATTCGCCCAGTGAAGCCGTGAAGAGCCGCTCGGCCAGCTGGCCGCACACCAGCCGACAGGCCGCTCTCGGAGCACGGCGACCGACAGCCGCCGCCCCCACACAGCGGATGATGAGGCGGGAGAGGCCCGCCAGCCGGCTCGGACTGCGGAGCACGCGCCGCCGCCGCCGCCGCCGCTCGGGACACGGAAGGACGGCGTTCGGGGACAGGCGAACCGCGCCCGGCACTAGTCCACCGGCGGCGGGAGGCCAGGCGGTAGCGGGCCGAGTGCGCGGCACGAACGACCGCCGCCGCCCGGGCTCCTGCTCGCGTCCCACACGTCCACGGACGCGCGCTCCAAACTTGGGAGTACGCACACCAGTCCGTTAAGAAGGGGTCTCAAAAAAGAGACAGCCGCATTTCCATACGTAAATGCCTATCATCACCAAAACCGAAAGCCTTAGAACATATCGACCAGTGGTGACGATTCCTCCGGCGCCACACCGGAACTAATACACTGAAAACGAGCTATAATAAAGAAAGCACAAACCTTGGAGCAGTGCTGGGACAGCACTAACCTTAAACCTAAAACAGCCGCTAATTCGTCTTTGCTGTTGCTATAGAAGAGTGTGACATCGACCCGCACTGCCCGCGGAGCGCAGCACCTGCCATCTGGCGAGCGCGCCACAGACTCGCCACGATCGGCTTCCGCTAGCCCTCCAGCTTGTTGGGGATGTGCGACCAGTCGACCAGCGGATCGAAGAGGTTCCTCTCGTTGTGACCCTTGCGCTGCAGCTCGTGCCTGAAGTACTCCACCGTCTTAGGGATGCCTTCGCTGAGCGGTACCTGGGCGGTGGGGCGGCGGCGTTAGACGGCGCTGGGCTGGGCTGAGCAACGGGTTCTAACACATCACATCGCGCAGAAATAAGGCGTGTGGCGCCGGCTCACGCCCTCAGCGACCCGAACACTCGACAAACGCTGTCCACCTGGGCTACGACGTGGCCGGGGGAAGCAGCACAACCGACACCATCACGCCGCAGGCCACGGACACTGCGGCCAAGCCCATCCCTTGGCGCTAGCTGGGCCCCACACTCGGCCCTGTCCGCCCCGGCGCGGGACCCGGCCACGACCGGCCCCGTCTGATCCAACCTTGGGCTGCCAGCCGAGCAGCTGCTCGGCGCGCCGGATGTCCGGCTTGCGCTTCTGCGGGTCGTCCTCGACGGCGTCCAGGTATTCCACCTGGCTGGTGCCGCCCACCGTCTTCTGGATAATGTGCGCGAACTCTGCCGACCGCCGGCGCGGTGTGAGCGGCGCCAGGCGGCCCGCCACCGGAGCGGTCGGATGCGCAGGGACAACACCTCATCGACGGCGCAGGGCTGCGCACGACATGTAAGGGTTCCGATACGCGACCTTTTTCTAAATAAAAACATCTGCACTGCCTCATTAATTTGATACGCTTTCACAAATGGTGCCCCAGCTCCTACATAGAGATGCCAGCCGGTGGAAATGTGACCGTGCGGCGGTTAGTGACGTCGCAGTGACGTCACTAACCACCCACAGTTAGTTACATACATCGATCAGCTATGCAATGACCACTACCAACGCTCAAGTTAACCGAAGACACGCTGGGCGTCCCACAGAGGTGGCCGCGGAGCCGGCGCGGTCGGCCAGCCATGCTGGAGGGCGGCGGCCGAGCTGCGGCGAGGGCCGTGTGACCCTGACCCCGCCCACCTTCGATGGTGTGCTCCACCGGGTTGCCCAGGTTGACGGGGCCCGTATGGTTGGACTCCATCAGCGCCACGAGACCCTCCACCAGGTCGGAGACGTACTGGAAGGAGCGCGTCTGCTCTCCCGAGCCGTAGATCTGCCGGAGCGGAGGCGGCGGGTCGGACAGCCGCCGGGGGGAGGGGGGCGAGGGAGAGCCCAGTCACCGGGACACGGTGATACGCGCCGGGCACGCCGCAGACATTCGGCCAAACGCGTCCAGCGAGGAAGCGGGCGGTTGGGGGGGGGGGGGGGCGGGTTGTGACCAATCACGCCATCGAAACAACGCCCCACGCGGCGGGCATGACACTGACACCACGCGACATGGGCCAGCATGAAACACGAAGGAAGCGCGCGCATCACGACACTGACACCGCGTGACACGAGCCGGTCGAGACACAGGCCCGCTATCCGCCCGTCTGCCAGAGCAGCGGCTGACACGGCCGCGTCCCCCTCCCCCGTCCCGCACCGCCGCGCGTCTCGAAGGCCGGTCGCGGCGCCGCTCTCACCGTCAGCGTCTGGTTCTGCAGCGCCTGCAGGATGAAGTTGCTGACCACGCGGCCGTCGTTGTTGTGCATGCGCGGCCCATACGTGTTAAAGATGCGCGCCACGCGCACGCTCACGTTAGACTGCTTGTGGTAGGCGAACGCCAACGTCTCGGCCACGCGCTTGGCCTCGTCGTAGCAGGCACGCGGCCCTGCCAGAGGAGGAGCGGAGCCGTCGGTGAAGGGCGGGACCGAGCGGCGCCGCCTGGTTGGGGCGGGCGCTCTCGATGATGACGCATGCCGGGGGCGCGCCTTTCACGTGCGGTGAACTGCACCTGGCTTTTTGAAACATTATTTCTAGTATTTCGAAAATTGGTAGCGCAGGAAATGCATTGGTCAAAACTACTGCGTTGCATCATATCCAATTTCAGGCACCAGAGAGCAAGCTTCAGTAATGGCTAGCCGTGGGATGTCAGTGAAACTAGGCTGCTGATTAGCCTGTAACTGTATCTGACCGTCTGCGTGCCAGGCACTGCCGTGAGTGCGCGCGTGCAACGGCGTCTCCCTACAACAGTACCAGTCCGGTTTCCAGCGGCGCCCGAGGCGGCCGGTGCACTGACCGATGGGGTTGACGTGACCCCAGTACGTCTCCGGCTGGGGGTGTACCTCCGGGTCGCCGTACACCTCCGAGGTGCTGGCGATCAAGAGACGCGCTCCCACCCGCTTGGCCAGACCTGTCGGCGTCACAGCAAAGACGCGTGGTCATGGCACACGCCGCACGCCTGTCCCATTCTGCCTTTCAGATGCGTATTGTCAATATCAATATCGAAAGCGATCCAACTAGAGCACGGCTAGATCCGTGCCAGGAATGCGAGGCCTGCCAAAAAAGTAATTGCAAACGACTGTACCACACAAAACAAAGAATGGTGGCTTGCTTTACAAGTCAAGTTCACCTCAGGATCATCCACAGCAATATAAAAAACCATGGCGTTGAAACTCACGCTTAAGGAATTCAGCTGGTGGTGCGTACCATCACCACACTGAGCGTTTTGCACTCACTCGCACAGCAGCGACACTGGCACATGCACAGCACGCACGCAAGAGCGCAAGAGGCTCACGCCAATCCGCCTCCCTGCCGCCTCGGTCACAAGACAACCTCTGCGAACCCCACTAGTCCTCGCAAACCATCCCACATGACCGGCGGCGGGACGCCGAGGAGCCCCCATGCCCCGCCCCCAGCCGAGCTGATGGGCAGCTCGCTGACGCCCACCCGAAGAGCTGCCCCTCCCTCTCCACCGCGGCGCGAGGAGCCGGCCGCCCACGCCCCCGCCGGCCGCCGCTCACCCAGCATGTTGATGGTGCCGATGGTGTTGGTCTTGATGGTCTTGACCGGGTTGGCCATGTAGTGGGGCGGGCTGGCCGGGCTGGCCAGGTGGTAGATCTCGTCCACTTCGGCGTAGTACTGGTTGATGACGTCGTGCATGGCCATCTCGAAGTTCTCGTGCCCCAGCCACTGCTCGATGTTGCGCTTGCGCCCCGTGTACAGGTTGTCCAGCACGATCACCTCGTAGCCATCGAGCATGAGCCGGTCGACCAGGTGGGAGCCGACGAACCCGGCCCCGCCCGTGACCTGGTGACAAGGTCAGACAGGTCAGACGGGGACCGCGGGCGTAGCCACCTGATACAGCACCGCGGACGGTCACGGCCGGTCCCGTGCTGTACATCGGATATCACCGCACTACAGACCGCTATGGTGGCGAGCGCTCCGTGCGCAGGCACGGTGCGCGCGTCACCAATATGCAGAACCCCGCATCACCGGACCACGGGTCAGCGATTGCCGCTGGATCACCACCGGATCATCATAGTACACACGCGGCACAAACACAAGTAATGTCACATTGCACCACACGTAAAAACACAGAAGCTTCCATGGCGATCAGCACACGAAGCCGCGAATACATCTGCACCATAATACGTACCTCACTTATGCAAACATCCGAGGAAAACGGGTTTGAGTTCTAAGCCTGTTATCTTAAAGCGGCACGTGAAATACAAAGCAAAGCATCGCCGCTTCGCCCGCTAGGCAGCAGACACTCGCCTCACCAGAATGCGTTTTCTGTCGCGGTAATTTCTGAACTTGACCCTGGGGAAGCTTTTGACGCCAGCCCGCTTGGTGAGGGCGGCCAGCCGCTGCTCCAGGCGGCGCAGGTCGGCGCGCGCCTCCGCCAGCCACACGCCGTGACAGCGCAGCTCCTGCCGGCAGCCGGGCCACGCCAGGTCAGCAGCTGGCTCAGCAGGCGCGTCACCAGCAAGGGCGGCAGCCGGGTCATGGCACCACCGCATCGAGATCGCGGTCACCGGCTGTTGCCAATACACGGCCGGATTCCGGCCCGGATAAATAATGCTTACTGAGTCGACCCCATTGTACTGGCCGGCGTGCTCAATCAGCCCCGCTGCTCGTGTAAAACCCGTTCGCGCCTTGGGCACTGGCTCCAGCGTCGCTGCTGATTTTGCAGTCCGCCAGTCGCTACGGACTGGAGGTGCGGTTTTTAAGCCCACAGGCCCGCAAGCGGGGGTAAAAATTAAAAAGTGTTGTCTCTCTAGCCTGCACCACCTGGCGACCACAGAATATGACCCGGGTTCAGCAGACTAGAGACATCACTTAAGCCTTTTTACCCGCGCTCTGCGGGTCTGCGGACTTAAAAGCGGCACCTCTAGTCCGAAACAGCTGACTGGCTGTTGCCCCGGTTCTATTCCCTCCCCGCGGGTCCGGGCCGTCTCCGGGGCGTTCACCCAGGCCGTCTGCGGGGCGTTCACCTCATGTTCGTCCAGCTCGTCTGCCTCGCAGTCGACGCCGTCAGGCGGCTCGGCGCGCGCCGCCATCTTGCGGCGTCTGGGCAGAGGCAGGGCCGGGTTCACAGGCTCAGCACGCCCACCGCCGCCGCCGCCGTTCATCGCGTGGGAACTCACGAACATGTAGCTATTCAGGAGCAGCACTGGAACGGACGGGTCGGCACGGACATCAGGGCAAACCGGCCGGACAGCGGCCCAAAACGGACCGCGAGGCGGCGGGTCCGTGACAGGACGTTACACCACTACGAAAGCGGCAGATATATACCCGCTACGATCACCACAAGGATAAGCGTCATTCGGAGGGCGCGTAAAACTTGCAAGTAACGAAGACACCGTTGTTGCTGAGCAATGACGGCCGGTGGGAGCAGAACATTCCGGAGCATGCACCCTTCTCATCCCAACAATGAGCTACAACGTCTGCTGTGATCTGGGCCGCTGCGGTTTGGCATCCCGCCAAGCGAGCCGAGCCGCGCGATCGGCAGGCGTCCGGCCCGTCTTCCGACAGCAGGAGAGCCCGCAGTAGCCACTCACGGAGCAGTACTGACGCACAGCCGATCATAAGCACCGACAGCGTTCTCCACCTGACGGCCATGGCAGCGGCTGGGCGAGTCTACTGTACCTGTGGGGGAAGCCATGCATTTATAATGACGGCTCGTCTGTAGTCTGTTGAAAGAGGTGTGCATGTGGTGGTGACATGCGAGCCATTAGTTGGTATTAGTGTGGTTAATACACCAAACCGATACACCATTTTTAAAACATGACATGGTCCTCCATCCAATGTAATGCCGGAGGACGAATCTTAACAGTTGTCGAGCTTTATCTTGGTTCCACCCAGAACGAAGTCTAGAACCAGAGGAAAGATGGGCTACAGTTGTCGAGCTTTATCTTGGTCCACCCAGAGCGAAGTCAAGAACCAGTGGAAAGATGGGTGACAGTTGGCGAGCTTTATCTTGGTCCCACCCAGAACGAAGTCTAGAACCAGCGGAAAGATGGGCCAACCGAGCATCATGCAAATCATCCAACAATGAATGTAGTCGTGAATCGAAATGAACTGATAAAGCTTACCATGAGCGGCACGGAGCTTGGTCAATTTGAATACTGTACCATTGCTATGAAACTAGTATTTGAAGGCCAGTTCGGACGCTCGATTTCCATCCACCTTTCAATGGTAAAATATGCCGATCCAAACTGTCATCACGTCTCTCCGCCGTCTGTTTTCCATGTTCAGAATATCCGACTACATCCCTCGGACCACGAGGCGTTCCTCGTGTCCACTAAACCGCGGGCGTTTCTCACCAGCCGGGGATCGCTGTGAGTAGAACTACCCAATGCATTCCCCACCAGATCTGTCAATGCGAGCAAGCGCTACACGCTAATGACCTGAATCACTGAATGAGGCCAGGACCCACTCCCAACTGCGGCTCGCCGAACCAGATAGGAGCATGCTGTACCCACTGACATGCTGAACTTCGGCAGTCATGCACACTGTGCATGGCTGCAATGCTGTGCACACTTTGCATAGCACTCCACAGCCATGAGCTGGATGTCTCATGAACATATCTTATATTCCAAAAGTCACCCAGCAAGTGCTCACTCACCTTACCTGGCAAATACGACAGTCAAATAAGGGCTCAGAGAATGAGGCTGAAGAGGATCCACTGGTGCCATGCACTTGAGTTATGGGCACCTGGTGTCAATGAAAGTGCTCAGGCATCCAGGGGCATACATGCCACTTGAGCTCTCCAGTGCTGTGCTGAGACTGTCAAGTTCTCCAGTGTTGTGCTAAGACTGTCAGGATCCATAATCTAACTAAACCCAAGCTCAAGTGCCTGCTGGACCTAGTCCAAAGTTGTTTGATCTGTGCCTGCCTGATGGTCAATGCATGCTATCTGTGCTTCAGATCATTTGCACTTAACTTTGCTTCATTGTGCTTACATTATTAGTGAGGCAAAGAGTGTTGTGATGGTTGTGTGATGCACAGTGTCTTGTTTGTTACCTGCATGTCTTTGCTTACAAGTTTTGTGCCAGTGTGCTTTTCTTTCTTTGCATATTCCATGCTCTTTTGTGTGATGAACAATGGCTCCACAAGATAGGCTGGCCTTCACCATACCTGGCCACAGCACTAGCTTTGGTGATGCTTGGCATATTCTTTCTATAAGATACTGTGATGATCATGAGGTGTGAACTGTGCACAGTCACAAAAACCACATTAACATAATAATCTGACTGCACCATCCCTCACACAGATAACATAGCATAACAGCCTGTGAGTGCTCAGCTGATGAAATCAGTTGAATTATGATTGTATGTGGGGATCAGTGTCTTTGTGGGACAAATGATTATGCTGGGGAGTTTAAAAACAGACATTAAAAGTTGCAAAATGTATTTAATATGCTTTAGTAAGATAAGAGATAAGATGGAGTTGAATGAGATCAGAACATCTTAGTTTTCAGTTTTTAAAGTAATGTTTCGCAAAGAACACCTTCATATCACATGAAACCAAACTAATGGTCATATTGAAAGGTTTAAAATCTTTCTTTTCAAGAATCACCTAAAAGCATGTCTTTAAATCAAAGCCTCCATCAATTAGGTCTTAATGGGTTGATGGTCCTAACAAAAGTATCAGATGCCCAGTCTGCAAAATCCATCCACTGTGCTCGGCCCCACTTTGTACTGATTCCTCATACTTAAAGGCATGACCTTACAGTGAGCATAACCTTGTCATCAAAAGATTGTTTGATATCATGGCTTAACTTTTGCAAGAATATATCACTCAGCATGCCATGGAATGTGGGCTACCATGCATTCAAAGTGGGGGGAGTGCATCATACATGATATATCTAACATGGTGCATATAGGACTAGACAGAAGTAGTCAGGAAAGTGGACAAATGGGCAAATCTTAGAAACCACACTTACAAGTATGGTGTTCTGCCAGTAGCAGGTACAATCCTTTAACAACTGAGTTTTCCAGCTCTCAAGAAAATTGTCTACATCCAGCTTTTTACCATCAATAATAAGCGGCGTCTGCTGGGACAATAACCCAGGAAATGTTGTCCTTCCACGCACAACCAGTCCAGTCAATACACAGTGGGTTTATCCCAGGTAACAACCGCATCAGTACACATGGAACCTTACTTATTTCCTTGGGCTGGACGCGGTGCTTACGAACAGTCAAGTGGAAATCACGAACACAACATACGGACAGCTGCCGAGGCCGTAATAGAGGCACTAAGGAAATAACAATACACGACACGGTTACTGATATCCCTAAGCCTCCCACAAGGTTATATCAAGGATCAAAAACAGCTATGCCCTTTCCGCGCTTGCTTCCGCGCTTGCCTTGCTTCCGCGTATGCTTCAATGAATGCCTCAGAACCGCAAGATTTGTAATCACCTGAGGAATTTGTTCGCAAACTAAATAAGGGAACGAAAAATTCTTTGCATCGGTCTAAATAATTTTGACTTCATGAATCAACAATAAATACAGGTGCTGTACCAACGGGAATTCCATTTTCTCGACTTCATCTATATCTATCGCTTATATCCTAGATATGTTGCATATTTGTAGCTTTTCCGGTTAAACCAACAACAACTCATGTTATAACATTAAGTTAGTTTTTGAAGCGACGTGATGGAATAGTCCCCCATTTCATTTGCAATGCACTGCTGTGCTGTCCTGATGCCGGGTTTGCTGGAGGTGTTGTGCGATAGCTGCTGTTGCTGGAAACGAACTCCTTGGCAAGGACGGCTGAAAGGTTGATAAAAATTAAGACGGTTATCATTGTCGATGTTGAGATGCACCATTCCGTCCCCATCACTTTTTATGCCGTGAATGCATCCTTCAAGGTGCGCCTTGCATGATGATGGTAACTTCATAGAGGATTTGCTGAAATTATAATGGCTTCGGTGTCGATTGCTGCAAATATTTTGTTGAGCAGTACACAAAAAGGGATGAGAGAGTAATTGATCAGAAACTGTCTTTATGATGCCTTCACCTAGTACGCAGTTCTTGCCATGCGTTACGTATGACATTACACGTGACATTGCACATCATGTTACACACGACATTACTGATAACAATGTTTTATTTGCATTTTATCAGTGACAAGTAGCCCGTTATGCTTTTCAGATGAGTACTTTTACCAGGTCACATTGAAATAAGCACACTGGGATCCCACAGATCCCAGTGTGCACACAGATCCCACGGCTATCGGCTATCTCCCCCACCCCACTCCTCGCTCTCGCCTCGCCTCGTCGCTGTTTTTGGTATGTTCATCGGTGCCCCTAATTTGTTTGACTTTTAACTTCTTATTCACTTCAAAGGTCATCATATTATTCGCTTCATGGAAAACCTGAATAGCCGTGCAACATCAGGTGTCTCTGCAGTCTTGTTAAGCCCGTGTACGAGATCTGTGCAGCCATTGTGATATGCAATGGGACGCTGTCGAGTGCGCCCACGCGAGACCAGGGGTCATCCGGCAACACCCCTCGGTGTATATAGGCTGACGCATACTGCGTAGCAACAAACGAGGTCCGAACACGACCAGGGCCGCGACTCTGCACTGCTTACACAGCGCAAGCGAGCCCGGCTATCTTGTGGCCGGGTGTAGGTAACCCCTTTACTTATATTTTTATCCACAGTGAGAATAAGAACGTAGATCTACCCTGTGAAGCGTTACATTGGTGCCTCAGGCCCGGATCTCCTAGACCAAGCGACCCTTATACGCTGAAAAGTCTGCTCGTCTCCAGCCAAGGTGCGACCATTGAAGTACTGGCCCCGATCCATTCGATTCATGCAAGTCACTGCGTCACGGGAAAGGAACTAGATTACTTGGCTCTTGGCACCTGCACCTGTTGAATATCTGGAAGGACAGTTTCGCCACCGATCCATGCGGCCCTCTTAAAAACTCTATCCATACCATTGTTCTTATCTGGAGAACAGAAGGAAGAAACGGAAGCACTTCTATGCATGTCACGATCTAAACAAGCGTGACTTCTGTTTGCTGTGTGGCAATTGTCATGCCTGCAACCGCGATCAAGTCACTACTTGCTTCGCTCATCACCGCTGCTCCTGTCTCCCTTGTCTCGAACGCTGTTGAAGCTTTCCCTCCGCTAATCCCCTAGCAGCAGACCTTGCTAATTAGCAAAAACAACTACTTAAGTTGTTAAAAAACATTACCAAAAGGTCGAACGCCGCTGCACGACATGCCACCGTCAGCTACAAATTCCTACCCTCTATTACCCGGACTATCTACCCACTTTGACAGCCTAAACGCTGGGAATTTGTATCAACGTATAGCTGACGTGGATGGCATCCCTCAGGATTACAACGGTAACGGCAAAGTCACCCTAACTACTGCACGATGTCTCGTAGCTGGAACAGCAAAATCATCATTTTTGCGCAACGAAGGACATAACTGCACATAGCTCAAGATGAAGGACTCGCTCCGACATTTTTTGCAAATCTGCGCGATCCCGACACTTTAGAGGAAAAACTGAACCGTATCACTCAAAGATCGAGCAAACCCGTCCAGTCCTTCTACCAGCGTCTAAATCAATTAGCTGCTAAAGTGTACGGAAATGACATACCCCCCCCCCCCGTAACGCGTAAACGAATACGCGTCGGTACTGCGCCATTGTCAACGCGTCAGCGGGACACTCGGCTCGGTAGCGAAACTAACGCACTTAGACCGACTCGTTCGACGCAGATGCATTGCCTTGTTTATTTTGTATGCTAATGATTAGATAAGCCGGATGTGGTAACCCGTAGCCGTAGTCACTTTTTGCAAGGGCTGCGACATGGCGCGCCTCTACTGCTGCTTCATGAGGGCTCACATGCGCATTAGAATTGCAGAACGTCGAAGGCTCGAGAACGCCCCATCCCCAGTGTTTGGAGGCCGCACGCCGGCGCCGCCCAGCGGCCCTACCGTGTATAACCTGACGTATCCTGCGTAGCGTCAGACGAGCAGTGACGGTCAGGGAGAAGCGGACGCGACCCGACGACCAGTGTCGTGACCCTGCACTTCGTGAAGCGGACCTCGACCGAATATAGTTACCTTGCGTGCCCGTTCTCTGATGGACGTTGGTGAAAGGAAGAACGCTACCCAAAAGAACACAGTGCTACACCCCGGGCAAACACAAGGCCCTAGCCAAATTGTTTGTAAACGGACTTGTGGATAATCGAAAAGCGAACAAACTGCTTCACCGACAGCCCTTGACTCTGACCGCTGTCTTAAACATCGCACTAATGGAAAACAAATTTTGCAGGCAGGTAAAAATGCGGGTCAGGGAGGAGCCGATGGAAATCGATCTGGTCAAACTAGCCACAAACCCCTTGCAGTAAACATCGAACAGCTCATGAAATATGTCAATGTCCTAGCAGTTAAAACGGAGTAAGCGAAACAAACGAAAGCACCCAAGGAGTGCAACCGCAACATGCGAACCAGTACAGGCAGATGCCTCAAAACCAGTACCAGAAACGCTTCATCCCGAACCACCCTCTTGGACAAAGTAGATCATATCCACCACCACCAGCACGAAATTTTCCAGGTACACAAGTCCATCACGGGCCACGCCCAAGGTTAGATAGGGGATACCCGGGACGACTTACATATCAATTTAACGAAGACCATAGGCCCATTTATCATTTTTGTTGCCTTCCCAACGCGTGTGTCGCAAATATGCTCCACAACTGCGCAGGCAGACCCCGCAAGCCGGTGAACGGGAACGTTCGGGACACTAGTGGGACATACGTCCAGTCGAGTAGGTGAAAGTTGTAACACAAATGTTAACAGGAAATGTCCCTTTATAGACGTTTGTATAGGCAAAAACAGGTGTTGCACTCTTTCAGATACCGAAACTCAATTTTCGCAGGTAAGCGACAAATTCTTAGCATCATGCAACGACATTTTGATGACGAAAACGTGTCAGGAAAAAGTATCTTCAATATTTGTTTGAAGCTACCGAATTAAAGTCACAAATATGGCAACAATTTGCATGACATTTGGTAAAATCCGAATGTATCACTTTCCTTGTACCTATGGGAATAGGCCATGACATGACTATGGGTGTGGACTATCTCAATGAAATAAAAGGTCTCCTTTGCTTTGATAACCAGCAACTGAAAATAAGTAAAGCATTGTTTCTACAAAAGCAAAAGCGAAACAACTGTTGGAGGGAGACGATAATGGAGTAAAAGGATACTACATCGAGCATGATCGACTGTACCATTAAACGTCACGCACTAAAATACGTGCTTTGACCCGTGCTCACCTAGTAGTTCCTAAAAAATTCAAGTACACCATCTTTCGAGAGGCGCATGACAGATACTTTAGAGGGCCGAGAAGACCACAGACAAGGTCTTTAATTCATTTTTTGGCCGGACACGTTAAAATAAATTAACGCATATGTTCAAACTTGTGAAAAGTATGCTATGAAAAAGCTAAAAAAGGAAAGACACCCGTTACAAGAAATGTCAATGCCAAGTACTCCCATGACTTACCTCGGCATTGACTTAACCGGACCTCACCCAATGTCGTCAAGAGGTAACGTTTACATCTGTATGGTAGTTGACTTATTATTGAGATTTCCGGAGGCTTACCCCATTTCCAGCAAAAATGCGGACACCATAGCCCAAATACTCTTGAGCGAAATCGTACCCCGTCGTTGATGCCCTCGATCAATTTGAGCGATCAGGGAACATAACTTTGCAACGCAGTTGTAGATACTGCCAATAGTTAGGAAGAGCTAGGATACACACGAGTAGCTACCTTACTCAGACCAGCGAAAAAATGGAAAGATTCCATAAGGCCTGGAATGAGATGATTACCAAAAAGATTAGCGAAAATCACACGAAATGGAAACAGATTCTTCAACCATGTTTAGCCGCTTTCAAGGTTAGTAAAAACGACAGAACTAAATACTCACCGCAATTTCTCATGTATGGCCGAGATCCAATTTTGCCTATAGATATCTTGATGTGAACCCGTTATAAATGCCCTGGCGACGAGTGCGTTCCCCAGATGTTTGAAAATCTCCACGACGTACGCAAACATGTCGCAGAAAACATTCAACAAACGCGGGATCACAACAAAATGTTATTTGACAACAGTGCTGAAGCATCCTCATTCCAAGTTGGCAACCCAGTTTACTACTACGATCCCGTGGTCAAAATAGGAAATTTATCTAAGTTCACCTTGCACTGCAAGCCTTACTTCGGCACTGTAACCAAAATTGAAGAAAAGAACTACGTGACCAAAAACATGGCAACACAAAATGAAGCTAATTCATTCGGAAAACCTCTGAA